GATTATAAGCTTTGTAATGATACCTTACAAGAGATCTTTTTCATGAAGCATGTTTTAGTTACATTATGTTCACACTCATCAGCATATTTTCATAAAATCATATAGAGTGCAATGTCACAACATCTAATTCAAGTATTATCTTTAACTGGACACTTAGTACCCAATCTGACATTGAGTAGGACACCATAGATTTCCTTTGTTGTTCTTCACAACTAGTTCTGTTACCTACCAAATAGGAATTTGACATCACCACTGATTTTTACAACATAGTGGGTTAGGCAGACTGTCTTGGGAGCGTAAAGTACCTTTCCTATGGCATTTGCTCTTAGTGAAAAGTGGTGATCCTTCTTTGTTTCTTCTTTTTGTTTCCTGTTGCTATCTCTTACCGATTTTTCATTTACAGTAGGATATTGGGGTGTTCTTGTCTCTGGCAACACATTTAATTTTTCATTACTTGTCCTAGAAATATATGCTCTGACTCTTATTTTTAGGGAGTCAAATTCACAAATATATTTTGGGGAGGAGGTATGTTCTCATATATAAATCACATTGTATAAATCCCACATTCCCCAACCAAGTTATATGCTATTAAATTACTGCAATATCACATACATTCAAACGGTTCTGATTCTTTTATTGTCCTTGACTTCTCTAAATGCATGTGCTGCTGCATTGTTTCTTTTTTTGGGGCATAGCTTCCCAGTCAGTTTAGTACAGGTTTATATGTTGATATTCTTCAAATGACTAATGCTCTCAGAAGCGATCTGGTTTGAGGGATCTTTTTGAGAATCAGATGTAGTCCAAATGCAGTTTATTCTGGAAGTCTCCTTTCCCACTGATTACTGTTTAAAATGTGGATGCAGATGCAAGCCACTTACTGTTTAATAGTCTCGTGCTAAGAAACGTCACTTCTCTTTGAACTCTTTCAGCTAGCTTTTTAGCTTCAGTTAAGTCCTCGAGCTGCCCATCAGGTGTTTGATAGACTATTTGTTTCTTAAGGCTGAGCTGCTCCCATATTGAGGTCCATGGTTGAGTGCTGCATTATAGTAACAGATGTGATGCGGTTCTTGAAGATATAACAGAATAACAGAATATTCTTAACGGTCTTCTGCGGAGCATTAGGCTGTTGCATCAACGAGGTGACTTGTTTATAGCAGGCAAACAAATATTTACATAACAAATTGTACTTGGACCAACAGTGCCACTTCAGGATTGGCTAGGCATGTCCTTGGGATCCACACATAGTGGGGCACCTATCTCCCAATTTCCTGTGTATCTATGAGAACACTTTTTGTAATGTCTTCCTGTTATATATTGCTTTCCTCAATGACCATCTGTGCTTCTCCGTCACTTGATCTGTTGGACCAAGTATTGTATCTGTATGAATTAGATTGTGAAAGTTTTGACGCAGGGATTCTGCAATACGTTCTCTATTAAATCAAGTCCACCTGGGCACTATATATAAATTAATAACAAACCTTCCTACGCTTGTTGAAAAAGATTTTGTGGAGAATGGGGTGTCGGGGGGGCAGAACTCTTCTGCATGGACGAGAGATGACTGATTCCTTCTGGTAAACCTGATTCATTGGTATGTGGAGTGAGACAGAGCTGAAAACATAACAAGATAACTACATTAACATTCCTTTTTCATAGCTGGTGCAAATGCTAGGGAAGGATAATGGCTATTCCCACTCAGATAATTGGTGTTTTAGGGACATCTAATGCTGCTACTTTGTGGTGTGGTGAGGAGAGGAAAATATAAGCATTTGAGTCATCACTGTGGTCAGTTCAGGTTACTTGCCTTTGAAGAGCTCTTGCAGCAGAGGAGGAAAATTTTCTTTGGGATACTGATCTACTCTTGAGTCAGACTGGAGTTTCTCTGAAAGAAGTGTCTAACAAACCTGAAGTCTAAAAGTAGTGACTTAAAACCTGTGAGGTAAGGCATCCAGGACACTGCATACTAGAGGCTTATGGTGGTCCTTGGTGAACAAGGACAACATGCCTTTCTTCTGTGTGCAGTATTCTCAGCTTTAATGCATAGTGCACTGATTGTTACCACAGGCTGACTAATGCCAGTATGTATCTGCAAAACTTAACAAATACCTTATTTAGTATTGTTGGCATACAGGAGGCTTAACTGGCTGTACAGATGGTGCTTGTGTGCTGCAGCTCTTCTTTGTTACAATAGAAATGCCACCTGAGTAGTCACACAGCCACCTTGACAGATAAGCAAGAGCGTAGGCACTGATGAAAGCCCCATGTGTACAGTGTTTCTGGTCGGGATTTCTCTCCAGGGATGCTAAAATGACACTGTGCAATGTGGTCATGCCTAAGCTTAAGGAGTTCTGCTGTCATTCCATTGATTCAGAGCTGAAATCCCTTTGAAAAGTCCAAAATAGCTTCCTTAGCCCTATAAGCAGAATGTTTGGTGTGGAATCAGGTTTTCTGTTTCATGGAGAGAGATATTAAAACAGAGTTTCGTCTTGACCATTTGGAGATAAATGTGTACTTAGCCTAACCAGTTCCAGTGATCTGGAGAATCAAAGCCAGAATCTTTACCATAGTGTTGGGGGCATTGTACCATTTGGGTTAAATATTGTGCCAAGATATTAATATGATTCTGTCCAAAAGTGTTTTACTTTTCAAGAATAAGTGCATCTCTCCTTTGGCATCAGTTTCTTTTGCAGACTTTTTGGTTTTGTTTGTGTGTAGGGAAATAATCATCCAATAGGACTAATGTAATGAAGCAGGCATTTCTTTATATAACACTTAATAATGTGCTAGCCGTTTTAGATATGTGCAAATCCCTGCCCTGGATGTGCAAAGTGAAACTTAAAGCATAATTAAACATAACAATTCTTGCAAGGATGAGAATAAAGTACAAAAGTTTCTGTTGTCTGAGTCCATTATATTGCAGTGCAGAGTCTTAAACAGTGCTGCTACTTATTTTCCTGCTCCTCGTTTTTAACATCTATCATAGTTCAGGGCAACTGCACCCATATTCCCCCTTTCTGCTCCAGCAAAGGCACCCACTCCCAGGCTTCCAGCATCCCCAGCCATCACCTCTCTCCCCCTCCTGACCAGGATTTTTCCAGGCTACACTGTTCCCTGCCTACACTGTGAATTCCCCAGCAAGTCAGACTGCCTCAGGAGGCCTGCTTTGCCTTCTTCTCAGAGACAGTAATTGCTCACAGTTATGTTACCACACAGCTCTTTCCAAGCAAGCAAATTTATTCTTAAGGTAAAAGCACTACAGAGAAAACATATTAAAACAATGAAAGAACCTACATTCATGCTAATAAGCTTACCAGAGATCACTCCCAACTTCAACAAGAGTTGTAGCAGGTGATCAGTCCTTCAAACAATGAACTCCTAAGATACTCAAACGTAATTCAGTAAGGTTAGTCCAGGAAGTTGCCTTATCAATCATCACAAATTAGGCAAGTCTTTATGTGATGTTGTGACGGTCAACAGTATAACTGGGTTAGGAAAAAAATTTGATACGTTCATGGAGGCTGGGTGAAGGACATAAATCCACACCATGTAGAGATGAAGCATAGGAGTTTATTACACACAGCGCTGGCGGAGTGTCACCTGGCTTATTAGGCTCAGAGACACTGTCATCAATTGATTACAATAGAATATATAGATTTTCCATGGGTGGGGGAAAGTGACGGGGTAGGCAGTTCCACACCCCGGGATAGGCAGCAAGACAAGATAGCACATTAGCCAATGGTTAACAGGTTACATAATGTCTCCGCCAATGGTCTCAAGTTAGCAAGTTAACATTTAATTAATACTTTGATAAAATAAATATATATGTTGAATTCTGATTTGGGGTCCATAGGAATGGAGCAACTCCTTTGATTGTCCAACAGGTACATTCCTAGGGGTTAAAACAAAGAAACAGTGAAAGTATATGATAATAAAGATTGTCTTCTGTGTGTCTTAAGGCAAGGCATTGGTCTCTGGGAAGGGGAGGTGGAAGGATGCCATATCTTATACTGACATGTTTTTATAAACTCAAGGTTGGATCTGTGAGAAGAATGTTTCCTTACAGGAGAAACAAACACAATAGGAACAGGGATCCTTTGTTCAATTTGAAACATTGGATGAAACGTAATTATTCAGTTATTGCTTCAACATCTGGCATTTCTACTGACCAAGCATATCTTAGCAAAGGCAATGTTATCTTGTTTATTCTGCTTTCTCTTAGCTAATCACTATTTGCTAGGCCTCTGGTCTCTTGACCATACTCTAGATTTTGGGTCTGGAAAAGAGCTGGCACAATCCATATATCAGGTTGTTATATAAAATGCACATGGATTTTAACCCTTCACTAGGTCTATCATTAGCTGTTAGCTCAGATAGTCAGGGATGCAACCCCCATGCTCCAAGTGTCCCTAAATCTCTGACTTCCAGAAGCTGGGACTGGACAACAGGGGATGGATAACTCAATATTGCTGTGTTCTGAAACATCTGGCACTGGCCACTATCAGAAGCTAGATAGACCATTGGTTTGACCCAGTGTGGCAATTATGTTCTTTACATCAAGCCGTCAATTGCCAAACATCCAAGACAGCCAACCAGCTCTAGAATGTTTGTTTTTTCTGTCGGGTGTTAGTTTTTTAGCATTGTCTTCAACATTTAGAAAAACTTATTTACATAGCATCAACCATGTGCTGGATTGTCAGAAATAACCTGTTCCCTGTCTAAGCAAGCAGTGAGTAGGCACAAGGTACAAAGGATATGATACTATAAATATGATACTATAAAAATAAGAAGACTGCGCTACAGGGTTGGACGTTCTTAGTTTCATATAGTGTCGTCTATATTTTCATGGGGATAAAATCTCTTGAAGGGAGGAGTAGAGTGTTTACTCTTCTTCACTGTTCTTCAGAATTGGTCTCTTCCATTTGGACCCTTTTTTTCCCCCATTGCAATTTGTTGCTTTTAATGTTATAGTGATGAATGCTGGTTTGCAACAATGAAGCATCCAGATGCAGGGGCTGCAGGTTTGTAGAAATTTTGGTGGTGCCCAGAACCTGCCTCCCCAAACTCCGCCACCCACCTGCCTAAGGCTCTGGGAGGGTATTTGGGTGGGGGAGGAGGTCTGGGGTGCAGGCTCTGGAATGGAGTTTGGGTGCTGGGTGCAGGCTCTGAGCTGTGGCAGGGGGTGGGGGTGCAGGAGGGGGTGAGGGGTGTAGGCTCTGGGAGGGAGTTTGGGTGTAGGCTCTGGGAGGGAGCCCAGAGGGCTGAGGTGCAGGCTCTGGGATGGAGTTTGGGTGCTGGATGCAGGGTCCTGGCATCAGACAGTGCTGGAGCCGGGCCCATGGTGCCTGGGCACCAGGAATTGAATTATAGCTGAAACAGGGTTATGAGCTTTAGAACAGAGCTGAAGTTTCATCTGCTTGGAAGCATACTGAAATTTTAAAGGGTCTTTTTCAAACTTCTCTGTTCATCAGCCCTGTATTGGGTGTTTACCTGAGTAGTCAACTACAGATTTTCATTTGTACATAAGGGGATTTCTCCCACACTGTAATTCCTCCCCAACCCTTCCTTAAAGGCTCCACAGGAGGTCAACTAATCTTTCCTTCAAGTGGCATATGTCTCAGGGCCTTTAGATACAGCTTTGGGACATTTATTCATGGAAACTGCGAAGCAACTCGCTGCCTTCACAGTGCTGTCATTATTGGCCAGTTTTTGGAGAGTTTAGCACCTGAAATTAACCATGCTTCTGAGAGCGGTGCTGGGCCCGCGGCGTCACGGGGGGCAATCCCGCGGGCCGGATTCAAAGCCCTGAGGGGCCGGATCCAGCCCGCGGGCCTTAGTTTGCCCACCCCTGACCTACACTATCCAACAACAAAGCAGTTTTTATGGTTTTATATCCTGACAAGACATTGGTCACTTGTAATGTTAATAGCCCATTTTCTAATAGTCTTCTTCCTTTGCAGCATTTGGATCACAACACTGTCTCAGCGTTAAATTGGATAAAAGAGACCAGTGACCAACAGTCTTTGTCGCCAACAACTAAAACTACCCAAAAGCACTACTGTGATTATGAACATCAAACTTTGTCCAAAAGAGAACAAGCTGAAGAGGAATCCTTATTTGCTGCTATACAGTGGCCAAATCCCCCTGTAGGCAAAATCCCATTTGTAAGAAGCACTGATCCTGCCCACAGCAATTTTGTGATCGTGAATTCCAATGTGCGCTTCAAGGTGGGAGATCAGTTAGAGGTGCGTGTCCACATGAAGGATTTTCAAGGCAAACCAAAACAGTATGGTGGAGACTACATACAGGCGAGAATTCACTCTCCTCTACTGAAAGCTGGAGCAACGGGAAGGGTTGTAGATGATCAGAACGGGTTTTACAAAGTCTTTTTCACTCTACTTTGGCCAGGGGAGGTCAGAGTATCTATGTCTCTGGTCCACCCTAGTGAAGGGATACAAGTCCTGCAACGCTTACGGGAAGAAAGGCCAGACAGAGTCTACTTTAAAAGCTTATTCAGGTCTGGTAGTACTTCAGAAACCACTGTATGCAATGTGTGTTTGCCTGGAGATCTTCCTGTCTGTAACTTCACAGACCTCTACACTGGTGAGCCATGGTTCTGCTACAAGCCGAGAAAACTGTCCTGTGCCAGCAGAATCAACCATGCCAAGGGAGGATATCAAAAGGACCTTCTGACACCTTCTGAGAGTCTCTTTTTCCAAACGTATGTATGTTCATAAATATATGCATAAGCGCGCACACTATTTTTTTTTAATGGTCGTTACTTAAGTTATATCTGTGTCTTTATTGTGACAAGAGATCAAGCAACAAGATAGTTGTAATGTTGATGAAAGGTGCTGGATTGACGTTTCTGGAGATCGAAATCGTCTCTTTATTTGCAGAAACACATATCGCTTAAGCAGTAGCAGCAAAGGTTTTCCCCACGCTGCCCAGCCCGCATGCTTCAGTCTTAAACTGAAGAAACTAGGAGAGAGGTAGTTGAGTCTCTGTGCCCTGAAATCAGTACTAGGCTTGTCTGCTGACACTGGAGTGTTACTGCCACCTGTGGTGGTGGTTGGTTTTAATTTTTATTTTTTGTGTGTGTGTGTGTGATTGCGCCATTTATTTCAGTCATCATTTCAGTTTGTTCATAACTCTAAATATGCATTTGGTACATACATTACACAAGAATATTGATGATCAGTGTTATTAGTTTTCATATGATACCTCACAAAGCATATTTTGTATAAAAATTATTACAGTAGTGGGTGACTACAAGGGTGGTTTCAGTCACAGTAATTTTTCCTTAGAAAATCAGCATGTTATTGCTAAATTGATTGCCTGTTGTGCTCTTCACTCCTTCTCAATCACCATGCTCTGAAATGACAGAAAATGGGTGCATGACAGCCTTCAATTATGGATTATTCCTATAGTAAAACTGGAGGTCACTGTGTAGCATCTATGGCTCTGCCTTCCCAATACAAGAATGTGTGCGTCTCAGCCAGGAAAAACTCATCATGGCTTAAGGACTCCATGGAATCTATGCGGTAGCTCCCCTAGTGTCTTGTACAGACTTCTGATTGCTACAAGTGATGTACCCCCCTGGCTTTGTGCAAGTAAAAATAGGTTTATAAAGTAAAATCTAATATCCTAGGACTACCAAAATGTTAAATCTTTGGCTAAGTGGGATTAAGAGAGTTGTCTCAAGAAGATTAATACTTATTGATTGGAGTGCTAGAAAGTAGAGTGTGCCTTAAAAATAAAAAACGTATCACATATGCAGTGTGTGCACATGAGTTAGGAGAAACTGATGCTAAAAATGAACTTGAAATATCCAGCATTGCTTTATTACATTTATATTTTTCTTATTGTTCTTCAAGTGATGTGAATATCAAAGTGCCAATACTTCCCAGTGGCCCCGATTCAGTGACTGTAGAACTCTTAGGATTTACAGGTAAAGTGTTTTTTTGTTTGTTTGTTTGTTTTTAATATTATTGTTTTGTAAATCATAGTGAAATCAATAGAAAGGAAAATAGGCATGATTAAATAATACTGGAGACTGTTTTCCCAGCTATTTGGCAAAAATATATATTTTTTAAATTTATTCATTGAATACAATTAGATGGTAAAGCTCTTTTTTAAAAAACTATTTATTTAGGAAGTATTAACAGGTTTACAAATCCTTGCCATATAAATGTAGAAACTAAACAACCATTACAACAGTGAGCTTTTGTTTAAAGAGGCGTTGTCTAGGAACAGAGTCATCAGTTGATCGTACACTCTTCTGTCACAAACTGTCTCTTACTAGGGTTTGTTCCTTCTGGGGGAATTCTGCACCACTGCGCACGTGCATATTTAATGTGCCGTGCATATTTTCATTGCCCCCCGCCCCCGAAAATAGTTTCTGCCAGTAAGTTGCTGCCGTTCTGCCTTTTCCCCACCAGAGGGCGCTATGGTGCTAGAACAGAGCAGCCACTCTCTGGCCAGCTAGGGAAAAGAGAGAGCCTGCAGTGCCTTCTTCACAGCACCTGTTGGGCCAGATCAGGAGATGGGGGATATGGAGACAGACAGCGTGGAGCTGCGGGGGGTCACAGACAGGGGCTCATAAGGTCTAATGGGGGAGGACAGACTGGGGCACCTCCTGTGGGGCTGAAGCTCTGAGACCTCCCTTCCTGCGGGCAGAAGCTCCCCCAAACAGGCTGGTAGGCAGAGAATGGGGAAGTTGGGGGGACGGAGGGCTCTGAGAGCTGCTATAACTGTAAAAGAGCTGCATGCGGCTCATGAGCCACAGTTTGGCCACCCCTGAAATACGTTCCCTGCACAGCTCCCACTGACTTCAGTTGCAAATACTCAGACCCAGGGTCTCAAGCTGGGCACTAGAAAATGAGGAACACACAGTTAGTGACCATCTGTGAAAAATTTGGTTTAGGTGATATGATGAGCATCAAATTGGACCTCTGTGGCAAAGGCAGGGTTAGAAGCCTCCAGGGCAGGGATAAAACTGACTCAATCATGAGACCATCCTTCTCTTCCTGCAATTCCTTGCTTCATTCGCTGTGCATCTTCCAACTTCTGCAATGAATGAAGGAAATGTCACGCTGTCTGGAGTGGCTCACGACTGTGAGTGCCAACCTCAGGGCAGACTGTCAAGAGGCAGGGCAAAACCCCCAGTCTGGTTGTATGTTCTATAATTAGATTTCGCCAACCCATTAACAAGTATGAACTCCTAAAGCAGTATAACATTCTTACCATGGTGTCACAGACAGTCCTCTTGGGCATTCCAGTCTATCTTGGCACCCAGGCAAGCTGGAATTTTGTGATAGATGGTCGCTTACACTAAAAATCAAATCAGTAATCTGACTACTCCGAGTCCCAAAGAACCAGTCGTTTACCCCAGCTCAGCTGTATTTAGATTGCAAACCAAGGACAACACTTGTAGCCACCCCTGTAATAAACTCACTAAAGGCTTATTACTAGGGAAAATCATATGAGAGTTATTTACAAGATTAAAGTAGATTAACTCATTTGTCTGTGTGTAAGTTTATCTTAGATTTCAAAAGATAATAGAAACTTCTCTAATAAGTAACTCTGTGTCCTTTTGGGCTAACCCAAGCTAAACAGTTGGGGACTCCTTGCTTATGCTTAGAAATCCTCACCCTCAGAGTTCAAGCAGCATAGGCATAACAATTTATCCTTAACAGGCATTTTTATTTCCTTCCTCCAGCATTCAAACTGTGATGGGATGTGGGCTTGTGCATGTACCCTCTTCAGGGGTGTGGGGAAGCAATCTACAAAGTCTTTTGTCCACAATGGTTTGTCTGATGTCTGTAGACCATCTTTTGTCAGGGAGAAGATAACACCTCTTGTGGTGAACTAGCATTTCAAACTTGGTAATGCTTCTCCTTGGACTAATTTTACAATCTGAGGCTATGTCTACACTATGCAGCTTTTAGTGACACGGCTGTGCCGCTACAGCCGTGCCACTAAAAGGTGCGCAGTATAGCTGCTGTTTGTCGGCAGGAGAGAGCTCTCCTGACAACAAAAAAATTCCACCCCCAATGAGCAGCAGCAGCTTTGATGGCAGGAGAGCGCTCTTGCTGACAAAGCGCTCTTCACACCGGCGCTGTTCGTGAGTAACACTTTTGTTGTTTGGGGGTGTGTTTAACACCCCGAACAACAAAAGTTTTGCTGACAAAGTTCCGGTGTAGACAAAGCCTTAGCAAACATTTTTATGGTTATAGAGCCAACATTTAAATGTTACTTTATAACGTGCAGATATTACAATTAATTGTAATACATGCAGCATCCTACAAGGATTCCATGAAGTCTAAACACATTCTTATAACTCTATCTATTTTAATAACACTCACACACAGGTAAGCCAGATTGGTTTCCAGCTATATGTTTGTCAGTATTCAATGAGGCCTAGGGGCCTAGATATGAACTGGCACCTGGTCTGCCAGCATCATGCAGGGATCCTACAGACAACATCTTCCTTCACTACACAACCTTTATTCATCTGGAAGTATAGTTCATCTTGTGTGCTGACTGAGACAGGGGTCCTGTGGAAAGAATACTATGTGATCATGTAATTAAAGACTGCAACGTAATATATACACACATGAGGGCTGAATTAAGGTTGCCCTTGCAACTTTAATGTTAGTATTTCCTAACTTTTGAGTGCTTGACTTCACAACTTTAATGTTGTTTTAACAGTTTTTATATGTAACTTCCTAGTTTTTTGGAAAAAGCAAACTGAAAAAACAGTACTATCATGTGGCATAATATTGACACCCTCTTGGGTCTTCAGGTTTGGAACCTTATGTCCACTGCACAAGTGACCTCTGCCACTTAAACTAATGGAGTAACTGACAGCAATATTAGGTTGTCATCCTTTATATGGGCCAGCCACAAAGGTGCTTTGGGGTGAAAGGCAATTGGAATGAATTTGTGATCCAATCTGAGACCTCATGTACCAGGTTGCAGCACCTCTCAAATTTGGTGCGGGTGGGACAGTAATCTGGGCCCCCTCCTTAGCTGTGACCCTGCCAGCCAGTAATGGGGGATGAGAGAGAGACTTTGCCCAGCGGGTTTCACAGGTGTTTGCTGACAGCGGAGAAATGGTGAGACGGGGAATCTTCTGTTCCATTCCACTCTGGAGGGGAGTGTGCTGTAGTGGGCACAGACCTTTCTGCCCTTGTTCCCCCCTCCAACTTTGACCCTGTTTGCTCCTGTTCCCTTCAGTCTCTCCTTCCCCATCCCAGCAGCTCCTTGTCCCAGTCTCCCCGTCCATTTTGTATTTGAGTTAGGCTGCTTCCTTCTCCGTGCTAACTGGGAGCCAGCAGGGGGACCTCTGAGAACACAGGAGAGACAGGTTCCCTGCCCTCGGTTCTGATGCTTGGTACCACAGCGACCCACGACAGCTAGGAGGAGCAATTGCAGCTCCATACCCGCAGCTCCAGGATGGGGCTTACTCAGCGAGGAACGGTATCTTGGGAGAATTTAGCTGCCAAACTCAAACAAGTCTCTGCTGCACATGTGCAAATTTGAGATTTTTCAAAGGCTTATAACTTGGCCAGTTTGGGCCTGATAATTTTTAATGGCACATCTCTGACAAAGGTAACCCCCCTCATCCAGATTTCAGTTCCTTTCTCTAAAGCATGGAGATTCTAGAGCCTATCAACTAAATGGTTGTAAGATTTTTTCTTTTTTTAAACATGGGGGAAACTATGTATTCTTCCCTAATCTTGGTCTCAGAAACAGCTGAACCATTTTTGCTGAAACATAAAAAAAAAAATCCAGCCTCAGGCAGACAGCTTGCATGGGACATTTCATCCTGAACCATTAAAGGATGGCAAAGTTACAAGCAATTTACAATGGGGTCTTATAATGTGAAGTATGCTTAAGTAACCTTAACTGTAGATGAAGCTGGTAGAGATGCCTATAACTGTCTTTTGTTGCAGAAGGAGGTAAAAAAAGTGTTAGATTGGGGTGTTTGCTTTGTCATGCTACTTTGCATTAGGATAAGGGTTGATGCTTTTGCTCGGTTGGATATACTTCCATGAAAATTACAGACATTATTTTTGTAATTGTGTATTAATCTGGAATAATTTTCCTCTTCCAGAATCAGCCAATCTGGACAGATCTCAGGGCCCAGCTGTTTTCCCTTTGGGTTACTATTACCAAGACAAGTGGAGGCCAAGAACACGTTGGATCCGACATTTTAACAAGACAGCTGATATTAGTGAATGCTTACAAGGAAAAGTAGTCCACTTCTTTGGCGATTCTACAATAAGACAGTGGTTTGAATATCTGACCACATTTGTTCCAGGTAATTTATTTTTTTGCTTTGTGCAGATGGCTTTCAAAAAGTCTTTACGTCTCTCACTCCATAGTGATTTTATATCCTAATATCAAAATAATGGAAGAAATAAAGAAGGATGGATGGCAAATGGATTTTCAATAAATAGCCATTGACAGGAAGAGTCATCCAAATTCCTTAGTAAAGATTGGAAATATATGGGGCCAAATCCCAGTTAACAAATATATATGCAATACACCCTCAAAACTGGCACCGTGGAGTGTGTTCTGCTTACGTCAATCAAGACCTTTCTATTACTTTGAGATAAGTGAGCATTTTAATATACAACCGCCAGGGGGCATGATGTAGTTTATAAAAGACATGTTTCAGAGTAGCAGCCGTGTTAGTCTGTATCCGCAAAAAGAACAGGAGTACTTGTGGCACCTTAGAGACTAACAAATTTATTTGAGCATAAACTTTCGTGGGCTACAGCCCACTTCATCAGATGCATAGAATGGAACATATAGTAAGAAATATATATACATATACATGGTAGCAATTGCAATGTCCCAGTAATACAGAGGTGGGCAAACTACAGCCCGCGGATCGGATCCTGCCCGGTCCCTGAGCTCCTGGCCGGGGAGGCTAGCTTCCGGCTCCTCCCCCGCTGTCCCCCCCTCCCCCGCAGAGCTACACCCCCGCACGGGCAGCGCTCTGGGCAGTGGAGCTGTGCGCTCCTGCCGAGCAGAGCGGCAGCGTGTCTGGCTCCGGCCGGCGCGGCAGCCAGACATGTTGCTCTGCATGCTCTGCTCGGCGTGGTAAGTGGGCTGGGGCCGGGGGGTTGTATAAGGGGCGGGGGGTCCTGGGGGGGGCAGTCAGGGAGCAGGGGGCGGTTGAATGGGGCGGAGGTTCTGGGGCGGGGGGCAGTCAGGGGACGGGGAGGTTGGATAGGCGGGGGGTTCCAGGGGGCCTGTCAGGGGGTGTGGGTGTGGATGGGGTTGGGGCAGTCAGGGGAAAGGGAGCAGGGGGGTTGGATAGGAGGTGGGGTCCCAGGAAGGGGCAGTTAGGGGACAAGGGTTGGATGGGTCGGGGGCTCTGAGGGGGGCAGTCAGGGGGCGGGAAGTAGGAGGGGGCAGGGGTCAGGATGTTTGGGAAGGCACAGCCTTCCCTACCCGGCCCTCCATCCAGTTTTGCAACCCCAGTGTGGCCCTCAGGCCAAAAAGTTTGCCCACCCCTGCAGTAATGTAACTTTTTCGATTATTTTTGGTCAGTGTTGGACTCTTTCTTCTTTCATTTCACTCAGAATTTTGACCTTCCTTATTAGATGGCATAATTTAGTAGCCAGTAATTGAATTAACCATCATAACTGCATAAAGGAATCAATTTTATTTAGATAAAGGGTGAAAATCATTTTAATACAGTTGACTTAGCTTCTGAAGTGCTAATTAAATTAAATGGAGGTTAAAAGTTGGCAGAGAAGGCTTTCTGCTGGCACTTTATGCGGTGGGGTATTTATGATGGAAAGAATCTGCTCAGAAAATCCCTTTATTTATAAGGTGGTGGGGGGAAAAGAATTTATCTGAAGTTAATCAAAGATTTTGCTTTTTGCATTTCAGCTTTAGAAAGATGCCAATCTTAGTGGGTATATGTTTCAGTGCTCAGGTAGCAAACATTTGAGTTTTTTAACTGCATTTAGTATTCTATTCAAACACTCTTTTCTAGCAGAACTTTCATACTGTCCAAATGATTTATGGATAGTAAAAGATGGCAGGAGAGGAAATCTTTATTCTTCTTGTGTTTCAGATCTAGTGGAATTTAACCTTGGGAGTCCTAAAAACGTAGGTCCTTTTATGTCCGTGGACCTGAAGCACAATGTCTTGCTGAAGTTCCGCTGTCATGGGCCACCCATTCGCTTTACCACTGTCTTCAGTAGCGAGCTACACTACATTGCCAATGAGCTAAATGGCATTGTAGGCGGAAGAAACACTGTGATAGCCATAACCATATGGTCCCACTTCAGCACCTTCCCTGTGGAGGTGTACATCCGAAGACTGAGGAACATTCGCAGGTCCATCATTCTACTGCTGGATCGCAGCCCCAAAACTCTGGTGGTCATCAGAACAGCCAATGTTCAGGAGCTTGGGCCAGAAGTGAGTCTCTTCAACAGTGACTGGTATTCCCTTCAGCTTGACACAATCATGAGGAAGATGTTCTCAGGAATTGCTGTGTTCTTTGTGGACGCCTGGGAGATGTCTCTGGCCCATTACTTGCCACACAACTTGCATCCACAGGATGTCATTATTAAGAATCAGATAGATGCATTCCTGTCTTTCGTTTGTCCTTCAGAAACTTAGCACAATCGGTGGAGAGGAGCCCCATGACATATATATCGTGTTTTCCTGTAGCATAACCAAATCATTCTCTGTCAGAGCTATAAAATGAAGCTACAGGCAAACTGTATGGTTACTGTTCCCACATGTGATCTCAGTTGCTTGGCCATGAAGACAGATGACTGTGAGTGGCAGTAAGTTGGAATGGACTAATTCTGACCACTTTTATATCTTCCTGTAGGGATGGTTCCTCTTGACCTTGTAATTTGTCTCAGATTACTAGGGTGCTCCTTAAATCAAAACTACAAGACTCACTATTAGCTTTATTAATTGTCTGCACTGCATGAATATTCATACAGCACTGATTCAGTTCCCAAAGTCCTTTCTCACCATCCAGAGTACTGTGTGAAACCTGGGAAGGATTGTTTGGGAACAGCCTTTCTTTGGTTGTTCCAAAGTTGTATTGGGTATCTAGAACAACCAAATATGTTTCATATTGTGCTTCTTTGATTGAAGTAATCTGGGGATACCTCTTCCAAAGTCCTAATCAGGAATCTAAAGGGGATGTCCTAAAACCACTGGATCAGTCCAGGAAGCACAACCTAAAAAGCCTGCAGAATTATCAGAATATTTATTGGATGTGTCGGCATTGATACAGCATATTAATCAACCATCCACAATGTTTACAGAATGGCTTCTAAATAATACAAATAGCCAGCACCAGTAGTAGGTAGTTTCTTCAGCAGCAGCAGCAACATTGCAATAACTCACTGGAAGTTTGATATTAAAATGTTTGTTTTCCCCTCTTGTCATGTGCTCACTCTGTTTTACTATTTCATAGCTTCTTATGAGACCTGGGTTTCTGTTTATATTAAAGAATAGATTTGTTTCGAGGGGGAGGAACATACAGAATTACATGGACTTCACAAACATAAGGTGGGGGAGAGAGTCAAATTTTGAGCCTACAATTCTTGACAGTGTCACTATAAATTCTTGCTCTGACTGATCTTTGTTCTTCCACTTTTATGTTGGGCATTCTTTGCACCATTTTCGTAGCTGCCAAATCTGCCAGCTATATGGGGTACAAAATACCTTCAGTGTTGCCCTGTGTACAGATACTTGGTAAATCCCTCCTGAATTTCCAGTGTTACAGCTGACAATTTATTGCTGAGTGGCACTTTTAGAGAAAGGGTTAATAGATTTGCACATTGTGCTTCCTGTTTTGACCGGACCTGGTTACAGTGTAAGTCCCACTTTGATTTATTGGCTTGATGAAGTTCAATTCCCAGATTAAACACTAGCGATGAGATCTTCAGAACTCTGCTCCCATTGAAACCAATGGAAATTCTACCATTGACTTCAGTGGGAACAGAGCATTGCCATCTTTCTCTTTTTGTAGTCCTTCTCTGCCACAGTCTTGCTCCCCTGTCACTGTGCATCAGGTGTGAGCAGAGTCCTAAGTGGCATGTCCCCATCAGTGCATGTGCAACATGTCTGCAATGAGAGCATGCCCATGAATATACTGGAATGAGTCACACATGCAGCTGTGTTCTACTTGCTCCTCATCAAAAACCATAGAAAGGTAGGAGAAGATTCAGCTTTAGAGTTTGAGATGTGAAACTAGGTTAGCACTCATTGGCCTCTAAACCCTATAAATCAGATTAAATTCACCTGGCTGCCAGCATCAGATTTATGGCAGTATGGCGAGGTAGGAAGCTATGCTAGCAGTGCTGTGGGAACCTCTCTGGTAGAGGTTGTGTGTTATCTGTGATCTGTAGGGATTTTGTTGCCTTTATTTATTGTAGTACAATGTTGTCAAGGCTGAATCCAACTGTCTCTGAGGATGCCAGTCCTCCTTGAGCCCACCAGAAAGAGTCTCCTTGTATAAGAGTCCTCCTATAACAAATCTGGACCCGTTAGAAGAGCTGAGAGGCGGTGGGTCGCTCCCTCTCTCATCCGCTTCCTGGTCTGCCTGGAACTGTTCCCTTGATGCTGGAGACATTAGTTCCTCGCTGGGTTGTGGACTTGGGCTTGGTCCCACTGGATGCAGGTAATGGGGTTGTTTCCATTGACTCTGAACTGCTCTCCGCTGGTGCACTAGGTGGTATTTCAGGCTCCGGTTGAGCCTCTTGCACTGGTTTAGCTGCTGCTGCTGGTGCAGGCTCTGTGGCGCCCTTTGATGCTGGCTCCCTTGACTCTGGTGGGGTTGCAAGCATGGGCTCTGGTCCTGACTGCTTCACCAGTTCCGATCCTTGGGCTGGTTCTGGCTGGGTCCCAGGAACTGGATCTACAACTGCTGCCATAGACTCTGGTGTGGGTTCTGGTTCCACCACCTCTGGCTGGGTTCCTGTAGGAGGCTCAGGAATGGAGTTAGGTGTGGAGGCCTGTTTAGCCTGGCTGTGGGTGACCATCCCTACCCTTTTTGTAGCCTCACATGGTTGGCTAAGTCTTCTCCCAGCAGCATGGGAATGGGATAATCATCATAGACTGCAAAAGTCCATATCCCTGACCAGCCCTTGTACTGGACAGGCAACTTGGCTGTAGGCAAGGTAAGAATTGGCCTTAAAGGGTTGCAGGGCTCTGGGGGCTATTTAAAGGGCCCGGGGTGTCCCTGCTTCTACTGCCCCGGTCCTTTAAATAGCCGTCGGAGCCCTGGGGTAGCAGCGGCGAGGCTTCAGCGGCTATTTAAAGAGCCGGGGCGGTAGAAGCAGTGGGAGCCCCGGACTTTTTAAATAGCCCTGAGAGCCCTGCAGCCCTACCCTGGGAGCCCTTTAAATTGCCCCATGGGGAAGCCGGGCCACCCTAGTACGGCGCACTGGCTCTTGCCAGTACGCCATACGGGGGCATACCGGCTTACTTTAACCTCTGGGTAAGGGGGTGGGGCTGCAAGCTCCAGCAGCTGTGCGACATCCTTACACAGCAGCATGGTAAGGGGGCCAGCTGGGGCTGGAAGGAGGGGTTGGATAAGGGGCAGGGAGCGGTTGGAGGGGGCGGAGGTTCTAGGGGGGCAGTCAGGGGATGGGGAACAGGGGGGTTGGGTAGGCATGGGAGTCCTGGGCGTCTGGCGGGGTGGTGGTGGGGGTGGGGTTGGGGCAGTTAGGGGACAGGGAGTGGGGTGAGTTGGGTAGGGGGTGGGGGTGGTCAGGGGACAAGGAGGGGGGTTGATGGGTTGCGGGTTCTGAGGGGGGGCAGGACGTGGGCTGGGGTCGGATGGATGGGTGGTGGTGGGGGGGGGGGGAGAGGAGAGACAGGCACATGGGGCTTGTATTCACCGCGCGGTTCCCTATCGGGTCTTCAGCGGCACTTCAGCGGCGGTCCTTCACTCACAATGAGAGGGGAGTATGAAGGGGGTTGGGATCTATCCGGGGTTGTGGGGTTTTTTTTCCTTCTTCCTTTCGGAGAACGGGGTAAAGAGGAGCGCTCGGTCTGGTGGTGGGAGAGGAGGCTTTTAATAAAGCTTTTAACTTATTATTTGAATATTTGAGAGAGGCGAGTTTTGATTTTGTCCACCTACGATTTGCCTCTTCCCACCACTGCATGAAACAATTAACCTCTCCTTTAGCCAATTTAGTTTTAGGTTGGCCGAGTTTGTCTTTTAAGACGTCCACTCGGTCTTTGTTCCAAGATTTGAACAGTGGCCACTGAGTTTTGGGATTCCCCTGAGTTAGCCTAGACCATTTTTCCAGAAATTTACAGGAGTCCGGACCCTTCATAAAATACAGAAAATACAGAGCCAGCATTCCTTTAGGGAACTGTCCCGACTTAAACGTCTGGTTACCAATACAGGAGGACTTTACACACACCAATCATACAAGAAGGAAATTCGGGTTAGTCAGAGCCAGGGCCAGCTCCAGGGTTTTGGCCGCCCCAAGCAGCCAAAACCAAAAAAAAAAAAAAAAAAAAAAAAGCCGCGATCCCGACCTAAAAAACCCCGCGATCGCGACCTGCGGCGGGAGGTCCTTCACTCCCAGGCGGAGTGAGGGACCGTCCGCCGAATTGCCGCCGAATACCTGGAACTGCCGCCCCTGTCCCGAACGGCCGCCCCAAGCACCTGCTTGAGAAGCTGGTGCCTGGAGCCGCCCTGGTCAGAGCGATGCTCGGTGCAACACACAAAAGGAGGCCACAGGCTACTGCCTCAATCGCCCTTGCTTTCACATCAAGGGTTTTACCCAAGGTGCGGTGCAGCTGCAATTGTGCAGATTTCACTCAGACCGCAGGGACAGGAACCCCTTGGTCGGCCGATCCCCGGACGGAGACGGCACCCAGACTCAAACACTGCACAGGAGGACGGATAGACACAGAGACAGGACAGTCCTCAGTCTGGACAAAACACAGAAATAATTACCTGACCAGATTCCTGATGTCAGATCCCGGGATCCCTACCAGAACAGAGTGGGAACCAACAGGTTTGATGGCGTAGACTTCACTGTGGTCATGCACCCTTCTGTTCAGGAGGAGGACCGCTCGGGCCAAATGCCTAGGTGCCGGCTGCCACGGTCATCCTACAAAAACGGTCAGGAAACACACGGCCCCAGTGAAGACGGTTGCCATCTCGGTGGAACCTCTAAATTGTCAAAGTTAGACTCAGGACTCAGTTTGTCAGACCACTCTGTTTTATTAGCACAGCGCTCTGCTAATACATTCAGATAACGTGAGCCCCCATGCAAGATTCAAACAGTCTTATTTATACAGATAAAAGGGTGCGAACTAAACAAAGGGACAGAGAGCAAAATTGTAAAATTTGCCTGGGGCACAATATGCATATCCTGCTTCCTTATTAACTCTTATCGATCTAAGGCGAATGCTTCACCAATCGCCCTTAAATGGAGCAACTGATTAACAGTTAATGTCTGCTTTCCTGACACCTGGATTGCAGCATTTCTTATTTCTACTTAAAGGTACTGTGACAAAGTTCCTCCTCTATCTTGGTGGAGTCCTGCGCTTATTGGCGGATTTTCTTGCCTCAGGGATTCACCATGTGGGTTGGGGAACAGCCCAGAGACCTTCCCCTCTGGAAGAACCCACAGTCCCGGTCAATTGGGAGGTTTGGGGGGAACCCGGGCCCACCCTCTACTTCGGGTTCCAGCCCAGGGCCCTGTGGACTGCAGCTGTCTATAGTGCCTCCTGTAACAGCTGCATGACAGCTACAACTCCCTGGGCTACTTCCCCATGGCCTCCTCCAAACACCTTCCTCATTCTCACCACAGGACCTTCCTCCTGGTGTCTAATAACGCTTGTGCTCCTCAGTCCTCCAGCAGCATACCCTCACTCTCAGCTCCTTGCGCCTCTTGCTCCCAGCTCCTCACACTCGCACCACAAACTGAAGTGAGCTCCTTTTTAAAACCCAGGTGCCCTGATTAGCCTGCCTTAATTGATTCTAGCAGCTTCTTCTTAATTGGCTCCATGTGTCCTAATTAGCCTGCCTGCCTTAACTGGTTCTAGCAGGTTCCTGATTACTCTAGTGCAGCCCCTGCTCTGGTCACTCAGGGAACGGACAACTACTCATCCAGTGACCAGTATATTTGCACTCTACCAGACTCCTGTACCCCACTGGCCTGGGTCTGTCACAGTACATACAGCATTCTTTAATTCATTCTATTTCTTTAATATAATTCATTTCACTTTCACACGTGTACCATAACCATTGTATTGTCAGATAACTGACCTATGGCATGGGAGCTTAACCTGGGCCTTTGTTGTTGGTGTCGTTATTTCTCTTGTATCAGACATAAGCATGTGCAAACCAGCAAAGAGGAGCATCTGCCCCTTTGCAAGTTATTGTGGTGACACAGATAGTTTTGGTTTGGGAGCAACAGTAATTGAAAAATTAAATCCCTTTATGGGTC